ACATACTGTACCATCCGTTGAAGGTTAGCAAATGCGTAGAGGACGTGAGTCAGCTTAGTAGCCGGTAACTGTTGAGGTTGATAGTTTCGTCCATAGATTGCCCTGTAGCAAACAAATTAGAGTTCATGCTTGACATTATCCAGGAATGGATTCCATATGGAAAGACATACCAATTGACAAAGTAAGCTGCATTGTGATATCCTCCAGTATACCCTACCGCACTGACTGACTCGTCATTTTTAGCTGGAATTGCTGCGGAAGATACAAAGATATCTAGATTTGTCAAAAGCAGTAAAAAAGTACTGCACGAATGTATGAATCATGTTTGGCTAGATGAAGGAGTAGAAACACGAGGGTCAATACAATAGTGAAAAAGTGTTGACTTGCACCCTGTAAGTTGACAACCACTGAGCCCAAAAAATGATAGTAAAGAGAAGTAAAGAAGATGAGGTAGGTGAAGAGATAGATGCTTTGTTCCTTCTTAAGCAAATCCCCCCTTTAATAGTTATACAGACAGTATTGACCAATTTTATATAACGTTACCTGTTGGGATAGGGATTATGGACTACGCTAGCGTTGACGCTAGCGTCTTCCGACACTACAGTAATACGTTTCGTGGCCCTAGCTTTTAGAACCTCAAGCAGTATAAACAACAGTGTGAATCATAGTACTATATTGACTTCACCATCCCCATGGTGATACCAACATTACCACTTGATATCAACGGATGACTGGATAACAATGAAGCATGAGAAGATTATCACCACTCACCTCAAAATGACACAAACGACTTCCCGATTGGTACAGTTTACACATCGCAGCTTGCACGAAGCCATGACAAGAACAAAAGCTTTCCAAATTGAGCAGCTACTTGAGATAAAATGAATGACTGAAACCTTCAGAACAGATGTGGAGGTCATATGTAACCGCATTTCTTGTGTTGTCACTCGTTGGCCATGAACTTTACTAACCGCCTACCATCAGGAACGACATCGGCCTTATTTCATACATCCAGTAAATTCTGACATGGATGATGGGAAGTATAGCAGATAAAGAAATGTAAGGAAGGAAGGTTGTAGTAGCGGCATGCCCCGAATTCTAAAAATGTTCAGTTGATCTTCAGATGAGGATTTCATGATAGCTTAGCCTACCAAATGCGGCGAGTTAGATAGGGAATGATCTTCAATTGTGTTGTTTGTATATATCTGTGCTCATTTATCCATCGAGTTTGTGCCATCTGTGGATGATGTACCGATATTGTAGTAACGTTACAATAAGGTCTCCTGAACATAGAGAGCATGAAACTACACAGTTATTGCGATAAGGGAATATGTTTATTTACCCGGCACGCGGATAGAATGCAAGGGGAACTTACTAACGGATTGGTGAACAAAGTTCTTGGCATCAAGATTGCCGATGGCAACTACACATGACCTTGACTATAAAGGCAGTTTTCTTCCGAAGAATGATGCCGATGAAAGGGTTTAATGTACTCTGCAATAAAAGGTTGATAGAGAACTTGAGTAAGCTTCCCAATATTTAGACGCGATGCAACAGAGGAGATATTTTACGTGAGATCAACATCTTTTGATAAGATACATTCGCTTGATAGATCGAGTACGCTTTGTTCTTGGAAGACTCAATCCATTCATATTGAATGCTGCTCAGTTTTGAGCCGAATAGTCGATCTTCTTGTGTTTAAATCTTGCTCGCAAATTTTGCGTAACAGGCATCAGGCATTGCAGTTCTACTCTTGACGCACACAGCAAGAATGATGGTAAAAATCATCGAGAGCTTGACAAAGTACAGCTTTTGCCCCCATAAGTTTACAAGGTGGAACAAGTTGTGAAAAATATGAGCCTAGATCGTGAATAGACACGTCTAGTTGAGAGGAAGGGCCAGCGACTTCGTTGACGGTAAATGCTGTATGATCTAGACCATCACGATCACGACACAAAACTGGATAAGTCAAATGTGTATCACGTACCTAGTGTGAACTTAGCGTAACGTAGAATTCATTTTTGTCGATTCAAAAGATTAACATTGCGCTTTCGTGCTGGGCTGGAGCATTGTGCTCGTCAAGGAAGCTGGGAAAGTTTGGGTGAAGAATGATCACAAGATAAGAGGGAGGCTATTAGTCGAGGTCGTGCATGATGGATGTAGTCTTAGCACAACGTATCGACACCGATGTGTTGGAAAGCTTTGGTCCACTGGTGGTCGGAGATTAATATTAAACCTTACCTTACCCTACCTCAAGCCTGCTTGCGTCCCTGTGTTTGCAGGAGGTACGTGCCAGAACAGTCCTAGTCAGCCACATGGCACGGTTCGTTTTTGACTTGGCTTGAAGGCTGAGAGGATACGCGTCCGTGACCAGAGCAGTGGCTAGGAGACATGAATCAAATTCAAAGTCCATATGGTGTGGTCAAGTAAGATAATAAGTGGCGAGAACCCCAAAAATTAAGTACAATTGGGGATGAAAAGACCTGCATCCCAATAAGTGTTTGGCTTTGACGAAAGAAAGTCTTGACATGGCGAAGAATCTTGGGGGGAAGAGTAATGGCCCACTAAATACAGGTTGTGAATTCTTCAGACTCAAGATATTTATCCTTTGCAGTGTTTTTCTCCAAACAATCAATTAATTTTTATACATGTTTTGTGGTGGGTATCATGTCCTATTCTTCCTTGCCAAACTTCGCTTTTCCTGTTATCCGAGCCAGTATCTTTTGCACAACCATTAAAACACGCATCCTAGCAGCCTTGATGTCCCAATTTTCAGCTTCATCGGCAGCAACGAATCTTCTGACTAGAAGATTGAAAACACTTCCAAATGCCAAGGCCATTACAGTACTGGTAAGAATAATGACATTGTAAGGCATGCTGAAATCCGGGGTTGGAAGTGGAAGCAACAGACTCGTAGTTCGAATGCTAACATTTCCAATGGTGATAACGGCTGGAGCGACATCAAACCCACGATTAGCGTCAGGAGGATACTCTGTATATCGAAGGATGGCCTTTTCAAAGTCATAGGTCAAAATAACTGTAGAATCCGCTGGAATGCGCATCCGCACTTCTAATTGAGTCCCTCTTTTGCGATCTAGGGCTGGACGATAGAACATCTCTTGTATGACATCTCCGTACAAGCCGTTAGTATCGGCCTTTAAAGTATGGAGATAAACCTTCATAAACCAAGGGAGCGACTCCATATATACAAAATCAACTGCATCTGTTGGCGAAGGATTTGTAAGTATGGCCTGTACACCACCTCGTTCCTGACCATATCCAATAAATGAGCGTTCGGCATATAGTAGGGGTTTGCGCCAATGGGGCTCTCTCGTGTATATCTTGTCGAGGTAATACCATCTCAAAGTCGCTATCTTGTTGTATTCGAAAACATCGGCTGTATCCAGAGGGGTCTTTGTGCTCAACTGCTCCTCCAGAGGTGAAGACATTGCGGGCATGAGGAACATTTATGCAAACGGAGTCTTCAATATTATCGGCTAATGGACAAGAACCCTTCATCGAATGACCAAAAATTTGTGATAAACTCCAATCCTCCTCTTCAGCGGCATTATCTAGAGGGAAGCAAGTATCGTCGGCATGGTATGTTTTGGATGTATCGCATTTCAAATCTTCAAATGGTACGGGCCGTGGAATTGGATTATCTGGATTTAATTTAGCACGTTGATCATATAGGGTAGCGATTTACGAACCTCTCGGGGCGCCTGGATCTTTGAATATCTAATACCATATCAATAGTTTGTGTAATCTGAAGCTGGCAGTCACTTGAAACGCTTGTGCATATAGGTTGCACATCAATCGACATGCTCTGCCATGAAGCATCAAATAGCTTATGTCCATCGAGTAAGCTCGAAATACCAGCCTTGCCTTTACAGGGCAGGAGTTTTAAGAAAGGCGTCAGATTTTCTGTGCAGACAACTTCTCGAGGCAGAGTTCCATGCAGTAAGTGTAGGTTCGCTAATGTGGAATTTGAGTGATCGTTAACTGGTTGAAATGATAAGACAGGTCTCGTTGTTCTTGTGGAATCGATAAAGTTAAGAGAAGCACAGAAAAGGCCAGACAATGCATTGGTCAAGGTTAACCAGCGACCATCAGCCCTAAGAAAATGTCAGTTAATTTCTTTTCCAAAAACGTGCATCGTACTCCTCATCAGTGGTTGCTTCTACCCAAGCCCAAAGCTCTACACCTGTTCCGCCTTCCCTTGTGCCTCCCCATGGCCTTGCACCCCAGTTTTCAGCATCCCATCTACCAAGGCTAAACCTCAAATGTAATTCTCGTGTATTGGCATACTGAAGAATTTGCCCCAATGATCTTGGAAAATAGCGAAAATTCTGTTGTTCGAATGATTCGAGGCTTGTGTTGCTTTGGAAGTTGAATGAAGCTAGTAGCGATGAAGGATGAAGGGGTCGTAGAAGAAGTTGCTCGTGATAATCTGAGGATGCGATTACTCCTGTAAATAATAAACTAAATATAAGGAAGAAAACGTGATAAAGTTTATCCATTGGATTCATGGCATTCAAAGCCATGTTGTCAAGAAGCTCTTTCATTGAGTTGTGAAGGGTCATTGCATAGGTAGGCACATGCACCAGTGGGACTCTTTGAATTGGAGCAAGTACTTCGTAGTTCGAATGTGCAGCCTTATCACGGCGTGTTCCGTTTTGCCCGCCGCTCCGAGCCTTGCCTTGTCTTGTCTCTACCTTTTTCTATCGATCTCCAAAAGTTAAACCATAACAAATACATTCCTATACCTCGAAACATGGCCGCAGAACAGAGAAAGCTCCTTGGTAAGTCAAAATCCCCATCTCATCTCTTCAAATGCTCGCGCTCCTTTGAATAAAATTTCAATTCGTCTTTTAACATCGAGATTTCATCATTTTACTAATGCAACCCTCTTGACAGAGCAGCTTATGGGCGCTGGAGCATCTTCTCGTGCAGCACAGCTTTCAATTACAGATCCAAAGATTTGCCGTTCTTTCCTAGTCGGCACTTGTCCCCACGACCTTTTCACAAATACGAAACAAGACTTAGGACCATGTCCAAAGATCCATTCAGAGCCATTAAAGACGGAGTTCGAAACTGCAGCACCTCCTCAAAAACAGAAATGGGGTTTTGAATACGATTACATGCGCGACTTACAGAAATACATTGATGAATGTAATAGAAGGATAGATGTCGCGCAGCGACGCTTGGAGAAAACACCTGATGAAATTCGACAAACAAACGCCCTTCTCAAACAAATATCTGATCTATCTAAATCAATCGAGTCGGGTCTGTTAGAAATTCAGATTCTAGGAGAGCAAGCGGAGGTATCGCGCGCTTATGAAGAGTTCTTCCGTATAAGACAGGCTATGCAGACAAAGGCCGAGAAAGAAAAGGAGCTGAAGGCATTATCAGATACCAGCGGACCTTCAGGACATCAAAAATTACAAGTTTGTGATGTCTGCGGAGCTTATTTGAGTCGGCTGGATAACGATCGAAGATTGGCGGACCATTTTTACGGGAAAATGCACCTAGGTTATGCGCAAATGAGGAAGACGTACGACGCATTTCCGAAGGAGATGAAGAGATCAAGACCTAGTGCTGATGACATGGATCATAATTCGGCGCCGAGAGGGTACGATGGAGGTTATGGTGATGGCGGATACGGCGGCAGAGGGGGTGGATATGGAGGACGCGGTGGTGGAAGAGGTGGTTTTAGAGGCAGGGGAAGAGGATTCAGAGGTGGATGGTAATAAGAAAATATCGAGGCGTTCACGGGCTTATCCTCACGGCGTTTTGGGTCGGCGGATATCAATGTACAACCATTCATAATCAATGGGGGTTGTTTCTGGGCTTTTCCTAACCTACGAGTCAACCTACCAGTACCTAGCTACTCGAGATACTTCTTCGGCTCATATACAGATGCGCAATTAAGAACCTTGTTTTTTCACTTCAACAACAAGAAATCCAACCCAATCATATGACCTCCACATAAGAAATGTCATATCGAGAGTTCCCGTGAGAATTGCTGGCTAGCTCGTTCATTGAAGATGGAACTGTGGTGGCTTTTGCTAGTGCAAAGTGCTTCCTATCTTCCCTGCTACATATCCACATGATGTTCTAGATCTCGTTTGCGAACTATGAATGTCCTCTACGTGTGGCTGTCGCTTGGTTTTGGGTATCTTTCATGGAGATCCATGGATTGATTTGTCGCCGTTCCCATGGAATCTTAATTGACGAATTCACTTAATACCCTGTATCCCTGGATGGCAAAACAGGATTTCCCACACTGGATCAAAAGGCGACCAGGATATCACAACCTACGTCATTAATTCCTTGGGCTTTATGAATTCCTCGTTATATCTTGAACCATATTTCGAATTAGTTTTAATAGTTTTCGCCATCAAAAAACACATTGTCACCCTCTGTTGTTGTTACCTCTATCAAATCGTACCACAGTTCCAACACTTCTACGCCACGCAAGACCTCAAATCACACGAACCACACCTGCTTCCATCTCAACATAATATCATGGAGTCCTTTAAGATTGTGACAGGTATTGCTCCTCCTGAGCATACGGATGAACAGAAGAAACAGTTTTACGACAGTCTTTCCGAGGATCAAAGACAAAAGCAAACGTATACGGAATGGGTAAAGGAGGCATACAACGATCAATATGAGAAGTGGATGCCATGGATTGAAGACCAGTATTTGAAATGGTTCGGAAGAGGAGACAACAAGGCATCATATGCGACAAAGGGTTGGTCGGCCTAGACTTTTATGATATGAGGCCTCTAGCTAATGATCATCGCAGACACCCTCAACAAGACCAAAGTCACTGGCGTATCACAAATCGACCAAATACAAGACGATGTCCACAATCTTGTCGGCAATCAACTTGGAGAGAATGGTTTGCTAGCTCCAATTGGAAACTTGGCTGGGAAAGAGGGCATAAACAGGTTGGAGCGAAATGGAAAAGATGAAGATGGTTCCTACGGCGGTCCCACGTCAGACATTAGCGATCCAATCATCAATAACGCAAAGGGTGCTGGACAGGGAATTTTGGGTGGCGCACAGAGTGCTGGCTCTGGCTTAGCAAGCGGTGCGAAGAGTGCAGGTGGATATGTTGGAGGAATGTTTGGGGGTGGGCAAAAGGAAGAGCCAAAGCCATAATAAGGGGAAGGAGATTATGACTTCCTCTTATTCGATGATTCTTCAAAGGTTCATTTATATATTATTCAAAAGGAGCTGAATCGCACCCCGTTCGGGTGTCAGGCCCTTGTATTGTGAAGTGTGATGGAATCACGAGGCTGCGGAATTTGTATAAAGGCCGAGCAACCTGTTGGAGAATAATGGATTTATTGACATGATACCAAATTTGAATTCATTACCTTTTTCGTAGCGAACCATCACCCCTTTCCAAGTTCATCTTGTACAGTTTACATGATGTGCTCATCAAGCACAGACAGGTTTCGTAGTAGGTACAACAGCAGAGTTGCTGGGGTTTGTTTGACTACATCCATCAACTCCGCCAAGAAGATAGTCATCTTCGGCCGCAGTATATGCCGAACCACAATTAGCGTCACTGTGTATCGTTTAGTAAGTTGTTGATAAAGCATAAGAATACATGATAGATCATACCTTGCACCACCTGAGGCATTATTGAAGTAAGAGCATATATCATGGTTCCAGCAGTCTTGTGTGCTACAAGTTTTTCTCGTTAGCAATGACAAGTCACTCAAAAGTACTACGTTGAATTCAGCTTTCAACTTACTAGTAATTGCCAAGGGCACTTCCGGTGCAACCTGCTCCACATCTTCCATTGCAGCTGTACCTTTTCAGGATAGTCAGCATGCTTTATATGAACAGTTTTGGGGACAAAAACACTTACTCTCCAGCGTTGACTGTGTTGGTTCCAAAGTTGCTTCCAACTGTTCCAGTCCACGTACAAGTCTGCCCAGCTGAATTGGTCCATGTGGCTTTGGCTGCCACCCCAACCTTGACGCAAGTAACGGATGCTTCAGCAAGTGTAATTAGAAATAGAGTGATAAGGGAAGTGAGTGAGGTACGCATTTTGAGGGTAGTTGAAAGCTCAAATGAGTCGTTTGGAAGGATATTGGAAGAGAGTTGTTGAGTACTAAATGACAACCAATACTGGTCAGCCTCTGCTTTATGTAATTTTCCATGGTTCAAGCATTTGTAGTTTTATTTACTAATTTAAACAGAATGTCACTTTCTGAAGATATTGACCACTTATCCAGAGATCGGCAAATATAGTGAATAAGTTCGGGCTCCGGGTCAAACTTTTTGAAATAAGTCACAATGCCGAACAAAAAAGACCATTTGCCAATCGGAGGGTCGAGTACATTGGCATGTCGAATTTGCCGTTGTCAATGACGTGCTTCTAATGTGGGGTGCACCCCAAGAGACACCTTGGCGGATCGCGATTTATAAGGACAAATTTGTTTAACATTCTACCATAAGTGGAACAAAAATCGGATTTATTAGGGGTCTTCAGTTAATAATACATGAAGATTGAAGTTCAAGAGTAGGATGTAATCGCTAGATTACACTGAGGAAATTGAGTGCGGGGGTTAGCGAAGTGACATGGATCTCTCGTCCAACCGCAACTTCATCAAGTCGTACGTATCGCATATCTATTCCTTTAACCCTTGTTTATATAAGTCAAGAAAGGATTGAAGATTTGTAGGTGCATAAAATTCGAGCACGTGAATTGTATCTAGATCAAATACGTATAACGTCTCAGATCTTTATAAAACAAATTTGATGCATGTAAAGCTACAGCATCATTTCAACTAGTTCCAAGAATCTTCCTTGCAACTCATTTTCGACATTTTCAGATCTCCAAGTTTGTAGTCGTTCTGACGAAAATTTACCGGATTCCAAGAGTTGAGAGGATTCCATGAGATCAATCCGATATCCCACAGTTTGAGATAATGGTTTCATTCTATTGGTATCACCATGGGGATGGTGAAGTCAATATAATACTATGGTTTATATTATTATTATATTGCTTGAGGTTTTTAAAAGCTAAAACTATAAAATATATTGTTATAATATCAAAAGATGTTAATATTATTGCTAATATAGTCACATAATCCTTATCCTAATATTAACAACTTTTTAAAATCGCTAAATTATATCCTTCTAATTAATACCTCTTTTGTTTATATAACTACCTATCCTTCTAATCTTTTTCAACTTATTTTATAACCTTAATCTTTATAATAATATTATTAATTAGATTTTTTAGGGTTTAATACAATTTGAATTTAATTATTATATCTATAAGGTTAGAATCTTTATTAATCTATTTGATTTTTATAATTTTTTGTTTTCTTATATATCTTTTGGATTGTTATTATATTAATTATTAATCTCTTTTAATTAGTAATTCTGAGTTTTGTAAAACAATTGTAAAGTGATTTGAAATCGATATATATAAATAATAGGATCTTATAGTTCAAGAAGGTTTTATTAATTATACCTTTAATTGCTATGTTAATATTAAAGTTTAAAACTATAATATAGAGTTCTAATATTAATA